TAAATTAATTCTTACAATTATTAAAAATTATACATGAACCATTTCGTTAATGGCATATTAAAAAAAAATTTCAAACAGTATATCTAATATTTATATTCTAATTAATTGCAAGAGTCTGTGAGCAGATAGTTGAAAAATGATGTACAATTTCAGCAAATGCAACTCGAATACACGACGAAAGTCAAGTCATCCGATTTTCGAGTGGTCCGCGTCGTGGATACTGAAGGGCACATAAGGGTGGTCCGAGAGAATACCCAAACCGAATTCACATGTTCCAGGCAGGGCTATTTCGTGCATCCAAAAAGTTGCAACAGGTACACAATTCCTAATATCATTTAAATCCATTCGCATACGAAAAATCCTGTTTCATTATTGACGAAATGTTTCGTAATTTTCCCAGGTTTTATCGATGCGTCAAGTTCAACCAGGAAGTGGAAGACTACTCCGTGTTCGAATTCGACTGTCCGGCGGGCTTGTCTTTCGACGAGCGAACCGAGGTTTGCGTTTGGCCAGGATCCATGCCCGAAGGATCACCTTGTCCTGGAAGCAGCGAGATTGCTCCCGTAGCTCGAGTACGATTCGAATGTCCTTCGAAATCCGGCTACTACGCAGACCCCCAAAATCCGCGATGGTTCTTCGCCTGCATCGATTTAGGTTTATACTACATCATTAAAAAATTAATAATAATATCTTGAATAATTAATTAATTTGAGGATGTAATGGCAGGACGACCAGAGATAATGGCATACGAGTTTCGTTGCCCGTTCGGGCTGATCTTCGACGAACAGAAATTGGTCTGCGAGTGGCCATGGCTGGTAGCAGGATATTCTGGCAGCGCTTACGAAAGGCCAGAGTACGACTTTGGTGCTGGGGCATCGATAAGTACTGGTGGATATTACACCGGAGGATTGCCTCATGGGTACACAGGAGCTCCAGGAGGATATTCTGGTTCGACGATTGGCGTCGGGTACACCGATGCCGGATCAGGATTCTCTGGTACTGGCGGATACTCGAGTCAAGGAGCAACTGGAACCGGATATTCCGGAGCAGCTGGTGTTGGACATGGAGTTTCATTCGGTGGTCAAGGATCTGGCGGATATACTGGATCAACTGGAAGTGGATACTCCGGAACCGCGGGACATGGAGTTTCATTCGGTGGTCAAGGATCCGGTGGTTACACTGGATCAACTGGAAGTGGATATTCCGGTACAGCTGGTCACGGAGTTTCATTCGGTGGTCAAGGATCTGGTGGTTACACTGGAGCTGCTGATGCTGGACATGGAATCTCGGTTGATGGCCAAGGATCTGGTGGATACACTGGATCAGCTGGAAGTGGATACACCGTAACAGTTGATCACGGAGTTTCATACGGTAGTCAAGGTGGATATACTGGATCAACTGGAAGTGGATCTGGAACAGCTGGAGGCGGATACTCCGGATCAGGAAAAGTCGAAACAGGAACTGGACAAGGATATTCCGGAGGATCAACGAGTAATGTATATACAGGCTCGGGCATAGGATATTCAACCGGTACAATTCACGCAGGATCGTCTGTTGGTACTGGATACTCGAAACCAGGTGGAACCGGTTATAGTTTTGCACCGGGATATTCGAGTTCTGTCGGTGGTGGATACTCTGGATCAACTCAAGGAGGATATTCCGGTTCCATTGGCGGAGGATACTCAGGAACGACGAGTACTGTTCACGGTGGATCCACTGGAGGATATTCGGGATCCATTGGCGGAGGATATTCAGGAACGACGAGCACTATTCATGGTGGTTCCAGTGGAGGATATTCAGGATCCATTGGCGGTGGATATTCCGGGACAACAAGCTCTGGTCACGCAGGAGGTGGTGGTTACTCAGGATCAGGAGGATACACAGTACCTTCTTACGGATCTGTACCGGGAGTCGATTATTCGGGAACTGGAACAGGCGCGACTGGCCATGGATACAGTGGAGAAACAGGAACAAAGTATACAGGATCTAGTTCTGGAATTGGTTTCGGTGGACCAACGCAAACGCCTATCTACGCCTCCAGTGGACCGATTGGAACTGGTCTCGACGTGTCCGGTGTACACTCACAGACTCGTAAGTTTATTTTATAAAATATTTTACATTCTTATTT